GGTCGAAGACGCGGCGTCGGGGTCGTGGAAGCGTCGGGGTCGTTTGGTGGCCGTTGGGTCGAAGATGGTCGTGCCGAGCTGGTTGGAGTTTTTTCCCACATCTTCCAACCACGCTCTTGGTGGTTTCCTTTTGTGCCGCTCTTCTTTGGTCGGTGGAATTCCGTGGAGACGACGGAGCCAACGACATGGCACCCTGCGGCAGAACCGGAGACTGGAGACTCGTCACATCGGGCCAGGGACATCGAGGCGGAACTTCAGCGACTGGGGAATGAGCAGTTCACCACCAGGGGCCCCAGGGCCCCGCCGCCCCATCCCTGGTTTTCCCTGAGACTTTCAGCACATAATTCTCCGTATCCCGTTGTCTCCCACTCTTGGGGAGTGCGAAGAAGGGTGAAGAAGATGGGTTAAGTCTCACAGAACTGGAACTCGGTGGATAGAGAGTCGGAGGATGGAGAGATGTAGTATGATCTCTGTGCAGGCAGGTCAGCTTGCTTTTATACATCCATTTCAAGATGAGCATGACTAGAAAAGGCCTCCTCATCCACCTTCCCTAGGCTTGGAAAGCAGAATTTCAAGCTGGTTTGGGGCTGGAGGTGCCCCAAAACTGTTCCAAGAAATTATATAGATGAAATTAAGTGAAGTCAACCATATAGTCATAGTCAACTATCATTGTCAAATCCCACGCACATAAATTGTGTGAAAGCACCGACCTAGTAAACCTCAACGTCTCCCAAATCAAACAGCGGGTTGCTTCGACTGAAGCGAAGCTCCGACCTCGGTGTCTCTCGGTGTCTCTTTGACCGACCCAGATCTTGATCCCCGACCAGCTCTTGACCTCAGTCTTCGTCGCTTGGAGATAGCGGGCAACTGCTCAGTCGCCGGAGCAAGGGGTTAGGGATATGTAGGTGTAGGAAGGTTTAAAGAAGGGAGATGAAGGGGGACCGGACCAGAACACTCCAAAAATGTTCACCCCCAAAACACCAGGTGTCACTCGACATATCTTGAAGGATCTTGTCAGGTCTTAAGCTCTTAAGCTGACTGGAGCAGGGTTTTGAAGGCGTAAGTAGTTCAGTAACGTAGTTGATTCAAGTCTTCCACATGGAGCTGTGTTCTTCTACATGGGTGGTGGGACGATCCAGCCTGACCATGGCACCTCTGCTTAGGATACCCCTGCTTCATGCACTGCTTTCATGTACCGTTCCAGTTCAGGCAGCAAAAACTAAAAGAATATTCAACATGAAAACACTTAGGATATCCAACGCAACGATAGCGCCTGCCATCTAGAAGGTGGCATTTACAAAAGAGTACGTGAATGTCATACTGACGTTTGATGCCCCTCCAACAGAACATCCAACATTGGGAGGTGGTTTCCTTTTGGACTGTCACAAACCGACCGTTAAAATCTCTCGAGGAGATGAAGCAACTCTTCATCGAGGCGGGCGGTCCTTGGCTTTTAAGCATGCCAACATCCATCATCCACCTCCAAGTGAAGGGTTGGACAGTTACCTCAACTGTGGGTCCCAAGAGTTGTCGACATGTCTCTTAGATGTTTTTGTTGTTTCTATCCCATGCACAATGCACTCCATGTATGGAACATATATGCCTACATTGGGGTGGTTTGGGTGGTCAATGTATGCATATATTCCAGTCCCATGGAGTGTTTGCCGGTCTGTCCGTGTGTCCACGGAAATGGGTGTCAACATGGCCCTTTGATGAAGGACGGCTCAGGCTCCACCTTTCCAGGAGCCAAAGGGAGGACACGGGAGGCCATTTGGTCATGAGGATCAGTGTGATTAAAGGAGGTGCTCAAGACTCAAAGCTGTACAACGAGCATAGAGCCATGCCCCAACATTCTATGAGTCATTCTGTTTTGGGGGGCGTGGTGGTGGTGTTGCTTTACTTTCTTCCGAAAGATCCGAAAGGTGTTGGAGCTGTTCTCTTGTGCCTTGGACTGAAACCGAGCGAGCCCCTGCCTTCTAGAGGTTCCACGAGACCTGAACATTGTGAGTCAAGCGTCAACGAGATTTCTGAATGTTCTACGTGTAGAGGTTTAACATGGCCACCTTTGAATCAAACATGGACGTAGCCGATTTTACTAGTATTTTTTAATGCATTCCATCACCACGTGTTGAGAAAACCGGAAGCTGCAACGATTGCCAGATCCGGGAAATCAAAGATGCTTGCCCTGATCTGTTTGAAAGCCACGACCTTGGTGAAAACACAGAGGGAGGGAGAGGGAGAGACCAAAAAAAGAACAAGAGGATGAGAAGGAGAGGATGAGACAAGTATGACAGCTGTTTGACGCAGAAAGCTTGGCAGGCTTAGCATATTGTGTTTCTATCATGTATCGAAATATGTTGGCGTTGCTTTTCGTCACCCCAGGACTTCAACTCTTGTGTGGTAGCTGTATAGGTGGCCCACCCGTTTCATCGCGTGGCGACCGCGTTTCATCGTGTTGAAACAACGCGACAGGTTCATCGACCTTGACCTGGAAGGATCTGGTGCCGATCTTCAACATGTTGCCACGACCTCGGCGTCCGATGCAGTCGGGTGATTTGGGTCGGAGGAAACGTGTTCTTAACACCGCTGGTGGAGCTGGGGAGCTGGTACATTTTGGGACTCATCTACGAGGGGAGATGAAGGACATTTGATTCTGGAATGATGGATTCTTCCGATTCAGTATTATTCACCCACACAGTTTAATCTAATTATTGGCGATTGCCTATTGCTGATATGAATATTGTCGTTGTGTTTTAGGTTTGGTGAGACACCCATCACCACATATCACCACTGCAGTCGGAATCCAGATATTTGGTGTGCACTTTGGTCCACAGGATCTCACGAAGGATTGGTCTTTTTGTGATCAAGCTTGCGGCGATGATGACCCACTTTACCGCTTACCACTCCATGTTCCTTTTTTGAGAACCTACATCCATTAACTCATACACGATTTGCCCTTTGCGACATGGCACGAGGGTTAGTAAGTGAGCAATTTATAACAACTATATGGTTATCCCTCAAGGTTTTTCGGACAGCCAAAACTTTGCTACAGCTGTCAGGCTGTGACACCGCGTTCACTTGGGTGAACCCATTGGCATCAATAGAGCCATTCCCGATGGTTGGAGATTTGCATGCACTCTTGGGTCAGGCTGCTTAGGGCATTCACTCTGACTGGGTCCAGATGTTTCAGGAACCACCTTGGCTTTCAGGTGCTCCTGGGAGGCTGAATCAATCGAATAGAAATATGGTGGGGTCACGTCTTGCTGCATGATGCACTCCTGCAGCGGTCCTGCCTTTTTTCACGCCTCAGGCCACCTTTGACGCGTGCCCTGCCTGGCACTTGGAGCTTGCGACACCCTAGCGCCGATCGCTGGCAATGCGTTAACATATAAAGTTGCCCAAATGCCCACAAACATCGGCCTGGTGTGGTTTGGAATCTTGACAGCAGTGGGGCCTACTGGTAGCCCCACGAAATCACACAAACAGTTTCATGCAGACTGTGAATAACTATAATATAACTCGAGAACGAGATCGGCATCCATTGCACCAAACAGATGGAGGAATGGAGAACGAGATTGCACTCCAAAAACGATGAGATTGGAGAACGAGGTAAGGAAGGCCCATGTGATAACTTAACGGAAATATGTTCCATCGCTCATATGTATACATGTTATTGTGAGGCGGTTTTGCCAGGTGCATGCTGTGCTTTGTGTAGGATGTTGATGGATTTTGTTTAGTGCAGAAATGCTTGATGATTGAACCAATCTGAACCAACGAAGCATTGTTGAACAATCTGCAATTGCATTGCATATGCTACCCATCTAAGCAAGTGTTTGGCCCCCACACATCCAGTGGCGGGTCACCACAAGTTTTGCTCCATCCGTTGCATCCACGTCTCAGGTTCCAGTCGCTGCCGGAGCGCATCCGCGTGCAGATCTGTCAAGCGGTGGTAGAGGCCAGCGAAAGCGGTTCTGCATGTTTGCAACCCACCCCGTTGAATGAGATTTGGACCATTTGGGATGGGGCTCCAACCATCTCAGAAGGTGTCCGACCTTCCTTGGCACCCACCCCAACCGCCTTCCAAACGAAGGTAGGACACGAAGGATGAAGTCGAACGCGTGAAGAGGATGCAAGAGGTAATGGGCCATGCATGGGAAGATGTCAACGTAACTTCAAGCGGCACAAGTATGTTTTCTAGTGTTCTAAATGTGTATTTTTAAGTCGTTCTGGCCAAGCCTAAACCCAACTTCTCCCTGCTTACCAGGACCCAGGGTTCATCCCAGTCGACAGACTAACCTGGCTCAGTTCGTGCCAGGATGGTCCACGTGGAGGTTACACCATCGACCTTGGCACAGTGGAGACCGAGGCCATTGACCTACCGCGCGTGGGGGTGTTGATTGGATCGGCTTCGCCCAATGAGAACCGATGTTCATTTCCAGAAGGCCGCGGGGGCAGTCGGCCGGCGGAGGATTGAGCTTTCTAGAAGATGAAGATCTATGGCGTTCTTTCGTTTGGACTCGTACAGACAACGTCTAAATAGATTCAAGGAACGAGTGCAGAAGGGCACATGAATTCCTGAATTGCACAGCATAATGGTTACAGTTTTCAAGAAGTCTGGGACTGGGAGCTTGCACGTTTCACTGTCAAGCTCCCATAGGCCTTTGCCTTGACTTGCTGCGTGTGGGACCACTGTCTCGAGCCATACTGTCAATTAAGGACTCATTCGGGACAATTTGCCGCAGTTATCATTGGCTCAGCAGTTTTGATCAAGTGGGTGCTTTGTGTTTCACGCTTCCCAACCGTGTCAGGACATGCTCAGGTTGGGCCATGCGTGCTTCTGCCATGCAACTCGTCCAGCACGCTGGCCGCATAGCTCCAGGTCCACCCGACTAGCAACTCCAGGTCATCAGGTCATTCCAAGTGGCCGGCATGGCATCGGAGATTTGGCAGTAAGTTGCTCATTGATTTCTTTGGCAAGACAAGCTTTGGGAGCTTGGGTTATGAGCCACTCGGACGTCAAAGAACTTTTTGAGGACAGTCTTCGTGAGAACAGTTCAGCAATACAACAATGCGTTGGGGACAATGCTTCTAACGTCATTGCCCGTATGGAGCACTTGAACAATGAGAACGCTCAGGAGTCAAGAGCAATGTTCTTCTTCAGTGAGGTTGCAAAACCAACATTTGAGAAAACACTTGAGACTTTCGGAAAGACTTGCCCGGACAAAGAAGTCTCTCCACTCCTTCCTGAGACCGTCAAAGCACTTGAGCCGCTTGGTGATACAAAGTTTTGGATGCGGGGGTCTGCCAGGAAGAAGGACGCAGACATGGTGCTTGTTCGACTTAGGACGATGCACGTGCAAATGAAGAAGATGGTTGAGCGCCACAATAAGAGTGGGCAATTTGAGCGGTATTTGGGCACAGGACAAGGTTCACGAGGAGCTTGAGGCCCTGAAGGCCAATGCCAGGGACACCTTCCATCTCCTGCAGACCATTTTGATTATCCACAACACGCAAGTGACAAACGAAGGCTTCAACAGTGTGCTTCAGGAACTTCAGGCGTGGAGGCAAGTTCAGGTTAGGAAGGAAACTCAGCTCCAAAGGGAGCTGGAACATGCCCAGCGTGTCAATGCCCAGGTGTTTATAGCTTTGTATGGGTGTTTGGTGAGTGGCTTTCTCCTTAGGTGTTGCCCTGTGGAACACAGACACGACAGGCTTGTCAACGCAGTTGGAGCCTGTTCTGCATGAGAATCGGCTGCCTACACAGGAGATTAATTTGTTTTGTGCAGCGAGCAGGCTAATTGCTAGTTGTGTTTCCCGAGCGCTAGGACAACTGGTGCCGAATTCTGAGATAAAGGGCGGCAATAGTCAGTTGGTAACTGGCAAGCTGACCGCATATATAGGCGATCCAAAAAGCAAGAGTGCCAAGGATCTAGGCAATAGTCAGTTGGTAACTGGCAAGCTGACCGCATATATAGGCGATCCAAAAAGCAAGAGTGCCAAGGATCTAGCGATTTGCCATCGCAAGTTAGTTTTACTTTTTGGGGGATAAGTTCAAGACGTGTGTTCATGAGAAGGGATTATACATGATTATACAAATCTTGCACCATGTTTCACTAACCTTATACAATCAATTATATACTGGAATGCATTTCTTCAAACAGCATTTTGGACATCCTCATAGCCAAACCTTCTTCCAACCATCTCCTTTCCACCAGAACATCTTCCGCATCCTGGTGGAAGCTGAGCTCACCCGGCGAGTGGTGGCCGGAAGCTACAAAGGCCCCTTCCAGGCGCTCCGGTCCTGCTGACCCTGAAAGGTGACCCTGAATCCAATGGATCTTAGGGGTAAGATGGGGTTTAGGCGTGGTTGAGCAAATGTTCTATAGCTGTATGACTGAAATGTGCGTCTTTAGAATTCTTTAGATGTGTTTTTCTGTGCCACAGCTGTGCAAGTGCGCCCCTCATGACATGATCACAACCATTCGAATCACAGGCGATCAGCTACTCTTTGCCCTACCAAGCTCGTGGGTTGCTGAGTTTGGGAGATGGCTCAATTTCTCAGACATGGATGATCCAGAATCAAGGCTCACAAAATTGTTGGAGATGAGAGAGGGAGAGAGAGAGAGAGGCTGAGAGAGAAAGAGGGCGATACAGCGATACAGGATACACTTCTTGAGACAATAGATGCATTTATTTAGCTACAATGAGTCCTTGTTGGACTTACATAAAACATGTGCGGAGTGAAATCATGGGGAATGTTTGGCAAGGTGGTTCTGGCAAACTCTTTTCTCGTTGCTTGATTGACCCTATCTAATTATACCATAGATCTTATGTTTACATGCATCGGTGTTTCCGTGCTCTTTAAGCTTTGTTGCTTTTTGGTATATACCTTGTCAAAATTTCGGGAAGCCTTTGACCATTATTCTCAAGGTTTATAGTTTTAAAGAGAGCTTTTGTTGAGCCATGTTGGATCAAGAACCATTTCCTCCTCTAGGGCTGGAGCAATGGAGATTCTAACGGTAGCCGGCACCGTTCTCACCCGCCTTCATGAGGAGGAACTGGGTTGCATGGTGGAGAGTGGAAAATCTATTAGGGATTTGAAGACGCTCCTTGCCAGAGAGATTAGATACTCAAGATTTCGATTAAGACTCTTGAGTAAAGAGATGGGCGAACTACGGGACGATCTGTGTGTCAGACAACTACCAAGTTTGCAATTGGTAGTGTTGGACTTTTGTGCGCCTGAGGAGGCCAATTGGCAGGCGCTACGCCTTGCTTAGTGAGAACAATTGAGTCGGAGAAGTTACAAGTTTGCTTCAGAAACCGTTGAATCCCAATGCGACAGGCGCAGGCCCTCGCCCTCCACCTATGTATCTTGCAGCAGAACTGGACCACTTGGCAGTGGTGCGGTTGTTGCTCGAGGCTGAAGCTGACAAGAATGCGGCAAGTCAAGACGGGACAACCGCCTTGATGGCTGCAGCTCGTCATAGCCATTTGGAAGTGGTGCGGTTGTTGCTCGAGGCTGGAGCTGACAAGACTGCAGCAAAACAAGATGGGGCGACTGTCTTGATGGCTACAGCTTTCAATGGCCACTTGGAAGTGGTGCGGTTGTTGCTCGAGGCTGGAGCTGACAAGAATGCTGCAAGACAAGATGGGGCGACCGCCTTGATGGCTGCAGCTTTCAATGGCCACTTGGAAGTGGTGCGGTTGTTGCTTGAGGCTGGAGCTGACAAGAATGCAGCAAAACAAGATGGGATTATTGACTTGATGGGTGCAGCTCGTCATGGCCATTTGGAAGTGGTGCGGTTGCTGCTTGAGGCTGGAGCTGACAAGAATGCAGCAGAAGCAAATGAGGCAACTGCCTTGATGGCTGCAGCTTTCAATGGCCACTTGGAAGTGGTGCAGGTGTTGCTTGAGGCTGGAGCTGACAAGAATGCAGTATCACGACATAGGGCGGCAACAGCCTTGATTGTTGGAGCATGTTGGAGCTGAGAATGGCCAGGTGGAAGTGGTGCGGCTGTTGCTCGAGGCTGGGGCTTACAAGAATGCAGCAACGGAACATAAG